TCTCTCTCTATCTCTCTCTCTATCTCTCTCTCTATCTCTCTCTCTACCTCTCTTTCTATCTCTCTCTCTATCTCTCATTTGTTCCTTATAGCATAGATTAGTGGTAGTGTAAAATTAGAAATTGAAATTAGATTGAATAACCAGAGTACATAAAAAGTTTTTCTAAACATCAAACATTTTTGATCTTATTCTTTCCAGTGATAAGAATAACATTTTCCCTCATATTAAAATATCAGAATTTATCAAATCACTAAATGTATCCCTCCGTTCCTTTATTAGTTTTTAAGTACAAAATTATAATTTCTAATTATACTAAACTATAAACATCAGAAGATAAACTTTTTTTTTTGATAATAAAATGATGTAAGTTTTTTAGTGATCGTTTTTTTTTCAGTTTTACGTGTTTCATTTGAAAGTTCATTTCACAAAATTTTAGTAATTCAAGCTGATGTAATTTACAGTTCTGTGACTTCGTTTTTGTTTTGCAATTCGAAATTTTGATTTTGTTGAGTTTAACATTACTTTATTTCTTTACAACTCGAAAATTTTAGCATTTAATTAAATTATTCATTTGCCTTCTTTATAAATAATCACTGCAATTTCGAAGTTCTTTTTTTTTCACGTTCAAATATAAATTTTAAGTATTCTTATTTTCCTACAAAGTATAGTTCGCTTTGCAGATAAGGAAAGGAATTTATTGAAAAGAAAATTAAACGTTAACTAAAACTTAGAATTATATTTCTTGGATTAAAAAAAATGAGCGTAAATTTTGCAAATTATAAAATTTCAGCTTAATTCTTCTTTTATTTTTTAAAATCAACATTTAATTTTCTTTGCAATAAATTCCTTTCCTTATCTACAAAAGATGATAGTTACGAACATTTTTTAAAAAAAAATGATAGAAGAGATCAATAAACGACAATTAGGTAATTGATAAGTTAAGAATGTTTCTAATTTTGATCTCGTTTAAAAAGTCCATAATTATTTTGTAAGGTCAATACTCAAGCAAGTTGGAAGGGTTGAATTTCTACTCATTCATTTTCATTTGATAGTGATAATGTTATCAATGATGAAATTTTTGCTCAGAGGAAAGACATTGATGGAAACAATCGAGAAATAAAAAGAAAATAACAAGTATATATGTAAACATAACTAACAATCTTGATTAATTCAAAAAATCTTATGGGATCGTCATGATAAACTTGTCAATATTGTTTCTAAAGAAGCCAAATATTTTTTTCCTCGTTTATCATCACAATAATATATTCTCGATGATTAATTTGAACTTGGAAGTCTGAATTCTTAAAGACAGAATAGTGAACAATCATATAATCTTCGCAATCTTTGTATTATTTATTACTATTATTATTTTTGTTATTACTATCATTTTTATATTACTATTATTATTTTCAAATAAAGTCTTCAATGCTGGAAATGTTTTTTTTTGTTCAATATTTTTAAGATTGAATGATTACTTAATGCTTCNCCTTGTCTACATCTTATTTTCTAACGTCATTATAATTATCATTCTCATTTAGCAGTGTAAAATTAAAAGTGACAAATTTAAATTTTCAAAAATTCTTTGAAACATATCTTGCATGCCGAAATTTTGTCATTTATTATTACATTTAATTGATCATTGAAAAAAATTGAAGCACAAAGCTATCAAACAACTTAAAATGTTTATTCCTCTCAATAGTTTAAATAATACTGTAAAAGTTTATATGTATAAAAATAAACAATTCGGCAACAATTCAAATCAAAAAGTAACCAATTGCACAGCTATAAATAAAAGGTCAAAGAACGAAATCGTATTTTTCGTATTTTGCAAAATATTTTCCAATCTATAATTCAACAATTTCCGCTTTAAGCAATGTGATATATTCGATTAATCCTTTTCTTTCTTGAATTTAAAAAAAAAAAAATTCATTCTTTCGCTATCACAATTATTAAAATTGATTAATTTAAAATGGTTATATCGATTGATTGATTTATCATAGTGTTAATAAATGTTATAAACAGTAGTATATCTATTCATTTCATTACATCACTAGTCATTATATAAATGCATTTATTATACTCTAATATTATGAAATGTAAATTTATTTAATTTAAATAACTCACAAGTAAATCTTTTTTCTTAAATTAAACTAAAGAATTAATTGTTGTAGTCATTGTTGATAATGATACTTTTAATTTTACAATGAATTATCAAACAAGCATTGATGTCATTTTGGACAACAGCCAAATCAAGAAAGCGCACTTGAAGGCTACATGATGATAGGTATTTGTGTTTATAACTTTGCTGTAAGTGCAGTAAGTCATCGATCAGAGCAATTTGTGCCACATTTTACTCGTATATTCTCCAATTTTCATCATTATTTTTGTCGTTTCTTTCATTTTTCTAATTAAAGCGTTATTTATTAATTTCGTGCAAATAATTACTCACTGTTGCTTATCGTTGTTGTTGCTGTTGTTGTTGTTGTTGTTGTTGTTGTTGTTGCATTCAGTATTGTTATTTGTTGTTGGATTACTATTTGCTCTTGTTGTTGCCGCTCCATAATCTTTAGTCGTTTTTCCAATCATTAGCGTACTAATGATGATAGAAATAATTTGTATGCATGTTTATCTAATATAAATTCACTTATTCAATTTCTTCTTATTGGAAAAAAAAGTTTTTTTTTTTCTCTCTATTTAAATTAAAAGAAAAAAGAAAGGTTTTCTTTTTTTTTTTTAATCATCTGAAGAAAATTCAACAATTTCTCGACTCTCACATGTTTAAACTTCATCAATTTCCTTTTTTTTTTTTTGTTAACTTTTATCCTTCTATTTTACTGCAATTTTTCATTTTATTTCAATTTTTTTCAATTTATTGACACATTTATATTTATTTTTGGATATTACAATTGAGTGCCATTGTTTTATTGTTCCAAAAAAAAAAA